CTAAGGTCGATATGGATATACCGACAATAACCTTTTTACGAAAGTTATCGCAATAACGAAAGAGTTTAATAAACCGATCATCTTTAAAGATATTAAAGTCATCATAAGTTTCTTCGTACTTCTCGATGAAGTCGATGATGTTAGCACTATTAAAGCAAAGAGCTCTTAAGGCGCTTAGCAATAGCATGCGAGTAGTTATAAAAGCGTAAAGGATAGCAAGGTCGACCATAACTAGCGCAAGGCCTAGTAAAAGAGCAAAAGGAGCAAGAGAAAGAAGAATGGTATAGATCTTAAGACCGGTGTTTATTTTAAGAAGCATTTCCGGAGTAAGTGTTTCCGATAAAAGTAGCGGTAAAGGTTCAAGTTGAAGGTCGAAGTAAAATAAGGATAGTCCGAAGCTTATAAGAATACGACTAAAGGATTTAACAAATTTAAAGGATTCTGACGAAAAAGGAGGTGATTCTGCGCCGACTTCGATATTAGAATTCTTAAGAAGGTTTTCGGTATTTTAAAGATTAGACATATGTGTATGTTGAGAATGATCGGGTTGATGAAAGGTTTTTGAATTGTTTGATTTTGATTCGTGAACCGAGTTCACGGTTAAAATAAGCGATTTTCGCAAGGTATTCTCGATCCGAGATTAAAAAGAGTAGACCTTTTGCAAAAGTAAACTAATAGATAAGATCAAAACCATGAAAAACCTAAGAATCAATTGATTAGCTTCGCTAACAACTCCGGACTATGTCAATTGCTTTAATTCAAGATGAGAGCTAAAGTATAGAAGGATATTTTTACTAATAAGTGAAAATTCTTTCTTATTAACAATAGAAGAAAGTTTTTGCCGGAGAGCCGAAATATTGCACTTCGGCCATTTCGGCGTTTCGGTGTCCGAACCTATCGGAAATAAAGTTTTGATTGTTTTGAAGTCGTAATTGTAGAATGAAGTGCTGAATAAACGAAGATCAACTTGACTACGAATCAAGCGATTGTAATAGGCTGTATAAGGACAGAGACCAAAGGTTTAAATCCTTGCGTAGGTCACCAATGTAAAAGCACCCAAAAAGATGTGCTATATAAAAGCCTAGCTCTAAGGCTGGACCTCATAGTCTTACAAAAGAGATATCAAAAAAGGTAAGTGGAAAGCTCGTTGATTGTTTTAGCTAAGAGATGTGTGCCCTCTTATAGAAGATGGGTCCGTCTAGTGTGGCCCTAGTGGCCATGGCAGGTACCCCATCAGGCAGGGTGTTTACAATGGTTAAAGTTATTTCCAATTCAGCTATTTAAAAAAAAATATAAAAGAAAAGTACAAGTCATTTGCACTAGCTGCTAGATTGTTTAAGTGCCTCCCCACCTGCGTTGAAATAGGCTTCTAAGGATTCTCGTCACGTGAAACAGCGATTTAGCATCATCGCTTATGGCTCAGTAAGTAAACAAACATCATAGCTTATGACTTGCAATTCCCTCCCGGCTCCGAGGCAACGCAGACTTTGGGTCTGCAAGCGTGCCCGACGGGTCTCGGAAGCTCTGGTATGCTTCTGGCCATATGCCTTGCTTGCCAGGGGACAAAATGCCATTGGGATCGACTGCGCCCTAGTGCCAGATTTATCAGGATAGGCTACTACTACCAGCTTCATCTGTTCAAGCACTCACCTTGATCTTCTCCACGAAGCGTCTGTAGGCATGATTATTGAAGTCATAATTTTCAGCATTCAAGTCTTCAGCATGATGTTAGTCGCATATAATCCAAGTCGACCTCCGGGACGCGGCGGCGCCGACTTACCCATGAAATTTATGTGAGTCCGATACGTGCTGTAGCCTCGCTTTTTCCCTTCGCGGTATAGCTCTGCGAGGATCGAACTGATGGCTTGACAGTGCCGAGGCTTGGACTTGTCGAACGTCATAAAATTGACAAAGATGGCGTGCCTCTCGTGCATGAAGAAATCGCACACGAGATCCCAGCCGTGCGCGTTGGATATAGCCCTGGATGCTCTCGCCCACTCCAGTATGGCTCTGCCCGACGACGGGAGCACGGGCGAGAAGTCCACGTGGCCTGCGATGCCCGTGCCGTCTTTGGGGAGGCTATAGCCGATTATGGGCAGACTCCAGAGTGAGGGCACGCCCACAAACGGTCCGCCGTGCGGCTCTCCGACACTGGCGGCGTCCAGCAACTCGTCTACCTGGCCGCAGAACATCTCGCCGCGCGCCTGGCCTTTGGGGGCCTTGATGGCGGCCACCCGCTTGAACTCGTCGAATTGCGCTTGGATGACCCCCTTCGGGCCGTAGAGGCCAAACTTGGCGTTCCAGTATCCCATGTTGAGCTCTTTCTGAAGTTCACGTACCTTCCAGTCGGGAATCGGCTCATCCTTGCCCCACAGTTCTGCTCGTTTGCCTACAAACCCGAGAAATTCGATTATGTTGAAAATGTACACCGTATTGGGGAGGGTTCCGTTTCGTCGCATCTCGCTAAAGAGATCAACCATCGTCTCCACATCGTCAAACTCGTCCATCGAGAAGTTGCAGGACAGGTAGGCTTGTGGCTGAGGAGTGAGCCATATTCCCATCTTTGTGACGATGCCGAGGTTGCTCTGCATGAACAGCCCCTCGATGGAGGGACCGAACGTAAATTTGGTGAGATGGGCTGAAGGGGATCCATTCTGAGCAAAGTGTCCCGTGCGAACGACATCGCCGTCGGCAAGAAGGATTTCAAGTCCGGCAACGTTTTGATGGTGGGTTGCTGTGGGTAGAAACCCGGTGCCTCGGTCAACGGTCTACTTCGCGCTCAGATAATGTCAGATTGGTGGCTGTGAACTGAGACTTACGTTTCCGACGACACTCCCCCATCCCAAAGAGGGTACACTGGGCCAGACGCGAAGCTTGTGGAGCTTGCAGTAGTCGTACAGATCTGTGAATGTCACGCCCGGCTCGACGACGGCATACGAGAACTCGTCATTCACTTCGATGATCTTGTTCATTCTGTGCAGATCGAGCGCCAACGAACCACTCAGTCGCGGAGCTGGGCCGCCATAGCTAGTTTTATCGTCAACATTCAACCTTTCCCAGAGTCTTATAAGACGTGGTACGTACCCCAAATTCTTGCCACCAGAAAAGGTCCACACCGGGATCTTGAACTCGTTCGCTACCTTCAAAACACCCTGTACATCTTCGATAGTTGCAGGGCTGAACAGTCATTAGAAGTAGTTTCTTCAAGAAATAGAGGTTGGGAGACGCACCACACGGCTCCGCTGGGCACTTTTCTCCGTGAAGGATCTTCCTGGAGTTCGTACGGGTCAATGTACTCCGCCAGAGCCTTTCCAATGTAGACATTCTCGTATCCCAGAATTTTCTGAAGTTTGACGATGGCGGTATCAAAATCTGCCTGCTTCACGCCGGGTGGAAGAATATTTTCCAACGGACGAATGGAGGATTTTGAGAAAAGGTTGTGGTGTGTTGAGTTGTATTCAGGATCCGCATACCTGATAGGCAAGGAGAAAGCTCCAGGTCCCGACATATTGGTATATTTCAGTAAGATCTCACAATTTCAATTTGTAATTTCCGACGATGGTTATTGGGAATTGAAGTGGCAGTCTGATTGTGATATCAGGAGCTCGCTAATATCTGAAGATGTGTTATAGAGGCTGCGTTGATAAAAGTCCGTATGCCCTCTTATGCTACCAGTAACTTCACATCTGGCCAAGATTGTCTCCTTTTCCCCCCCAGTGCTTTTGTTGGCAGATCTTTGGGGTAACTATGAAAAAAGAATATGGCTTGGAGGCTGCACATAAAGACGACCCCACATCCCAATCCCCACATAGTGTTGGAATATTGGGGTTCTGCCTGTATTCCCTTGTATGGACTAGCCTCTTGGCTGGTCTCTTGGCTACTCTCTTACTATAGCTCTCAGTACTCTCACACCTAATTTACTACACCTTCTGCACTCCTGATTCTATCACATAGCCTTGAGTTAGGGTCATCCCAGGAATATGAAGTAAGGATCAAAGCCGAAGCTCAATAGCTTGGTCAAAGTCTTTTTAAGGGTCATACTAGGGATGTGAAGTAAGGATTAAAGTCGAAGCTCAATAGCTTGGTCAAAGTCCTTTTTCAGGTCATACTAGGGATGTAAAGTAAGGATTAAAGTCGAAGCTTAATAGCTTGGTCAAAGTCTTTTTTAGGGTCATACTAAGGATATGAAGTAAGTAGTAGTAGTAGTATTGTTTTAACGACTGCTGCGGGTCCTAAAAAGGAGTCCGACTTACCACCTCCTTAAGGGTATAATAGGGTGCCGGCATTAGGTCTTACTTATAAGCACTCCGCAAAGGCAGATGGTATCTTAACTAATGAAATAGCTTTTTTAAATATAAAGTCCGTTTATATCGATAAAGTAAAAACCCGTAAGAAAAAGACTAAATCGATATGAAGTCCCGAGTCTTTGATCCCGCGGTATTGCAGCTTTAATATATCTTAATGCTTTTTATTAACGGCAAATTTAATTAAGAAAGTATTAATTGCTGCGGTCGCTTTTTATTGCGATTAATTATCAGCAGCTCGATACACCGTCTTTTTGATTATTTAATCGAGTATTCGATTAAGATATTTTTTTTTTCTTTTCGGTCGACCTTTTACATTCGTAATCGATTATAATTATAAGCATCCTCGAGCTAGCTTTTGCTAAAGGTTCTTCTACCGTATAGCAATCTCCAAAGTTCCGAAAGCTAAGCTGCTATTATATTTACTTCGTTCTTTTAGCGTCCTTATATAATCGATCGTAAATATCGCTTATCGTATCGAATTCGAAAAAAAAAGTCGAATTTAATCGTTAAATAAAGTTATCGAGCTAGTCGATAAAGTCGAGTTCGAGTTATATACGAAAGAGTATATTATAATACTTATTCCGTATCTTTAATCGTCGTTCGTTCCGTCGGCAGATACGAAAAATACGGCTAGCATCAAAGTGTATCGCCTCGGTTACCTTCCAAAAAAGGGCGTTTTCTGATCGGCTTTACGAATATTATTGAAAATATCGCAGGTTCGTAGCTAGCGTCACGTACAGGCTCAGAAATCCGTCTTCGCTGGCCGGGATATGAAGTAAGGATCAAAGTGGAAGCTCAATAGCTTGGTCAAAGTCCTTTCTAAGGTCATACTAGGGATATGAAGTAAGGATCAAAGTCGAAGCTCAATAGCTTGGTCAAAATCTTTTTTAGGGTCACCTAAGGAATGTGGGTTAAGGATCAAAGCCGAAGCTCAAGAGCTTGCTCAAAGTCTTTTTTTATATACTTCTCGCTGCTCTTAGATTCAATCATAAGATCAACCATAAGATCAATCATAGCGTCAAAAGTTGAGCACGCTCCTACTCGTGTTCCACGTCAACAACAGTATGGCGATTTCAAAGGTAATAAGCGAGAGAAAACTTTCCTGATCTATCCAAACACATTGACTAACGCTATCACAGGTAATCGTTGTTGGTTCCGGACCAGCAGGGCTAGTACTTTCACTCCTGCTCGCCAAGCAGGGCATCAACGTACTCATCCTCGAAGCCGCCCAGAAGCTCGACGAGAGCCCTCGCGCATCACATTACGCGCCCCCAGCGACCTACGAGCTCGAAAGAGCAGGCGTGTTGCAAGAGGTGATCTCCGAGGGGTTCTTCCCCGACGGGGTATCGTGGCGAGACATCGACGGCAACCCGCTCGTCTCACTCCTCCAAAAAGATGCAACCAGAGACAACAAGGTCGTCTGCTTGCCCCTGAACCACCTGACCAGAATCCTCATCGCGCACCTGGCGAAGGAAGACCGGGCGGACTTGAGATGGTCTCACAAGGTTCTGCCCACTATGGGACAGGACCCGTCGGCGGCGTGGGTGATGGTGCAGACCCCACACGGCGTCGAGAAGTTCTCGGCAGACTACATCGTCGGGTGCGACGGTGCGAAGAGTCAGATCCGGAGATCGTTGCAAGGAGACGAGTTCCCCGGACGGACGTGGGACGAGCAGATCGTGGCCACGAATGTAAGCTAAATTCCCGCGATCGAGTCCACGTCCTCACCATGCTCTTCTCTCGCAAACTAAACGTCCGCGCTCTGCAGGTCTACTACGACATGTCTCCCTACAAGTGGCAAGAAGTCAACTTCATCCTCGATAGAGAGCACTGGTCCCTGGTCGCCAAGATCCAGAATGATGGCCTGCTGCGCGTGATCTACGGAGACATCCCAGGCCTGACCCGAGAGGAGTACATCGCTCGGCAGCCCATGAAATTCAAACATTTCCTCCCCGGCCGCCCCGATCCCGACCAGTACAGAGTCGTCAGCATCAGCCCGTACCGCGTCCATCAACGATGCGCGAAGCGCTTGCGCGAGGGACGCTTCCTTCTCGTTGCCGACGCAGCGCATCTATGCAACCCCTTGTACCTGACCCCATTTACCCCTTTGCATTGACACCTAACCGAGCAGCTGGCAGGTTGGCTAACATCTCACCATGTAGCGGCGGACTCGGTCTGACAGGCGGTCTGGTCGACGCCGGCAACCTCTTCGACTGCCTCAACGGGATCCATCAGGGTCTCGCCACCGACGCCATCCTGACGCGATACGACGTCGTGAGACGAGAGAAGTACCACAGCATGATCGACCCCATCTCCAGCGAGAACATCCGGCGGATGTGGAAGGATCCCGCAGTCGCGCGGGAGGAGGACACGTTTTTCGCCATGTGTCGGAAAGCCGAAGCCGATCCGGAATTCGCCAAACTCATGCAGCAGGTAGGGCGGGCCTATCGCCCATGCGGGTCTGTGTGGATGAATTCACTGATGAATGCTTCGAACAGGGTGTGAAAGCGATTATGCATGATTTTAGAAAGGAATATGACGGTGCACTGGCATCAACGGTTTCAACGGCTCCAACGGCATCAATGGCTCCAACGGCATCAGCGGCTTCAATGGCACCAACGGCATCGACGGCTTTAACGGCTCCAACCGCTCCAACGGCTTCAAATTAGATTCTCTCTTCCTCTTTCTCGTTCGCTTCACAACACACCATGATTGTACTAAGCAGATGTATGCTTTAAACATGTATCTGCAAGTAAAAGCACTAATCTCATATTTATTCCTCTTCTTCAATATCAAACCGAAAAATATATTTAAACCCGCACCAAAAGATTTCCAACCGATATCCCTATCCATCCATCCATCCCAATTACAAATCAACAATGAGAGGTAGTTCTACCCATGACCCCTTGCCGGGCTCTAATCATCCTCTCCTCCCACCACAACAACAAATCGAAGCGAGCCAGCTAGCTCTTCGGCTCGCTCTCCCTTTTTTTTGTAAAAAAATAAAGAAAAAAATAAAATAAAATAAAAATATTATTCGAGGACAGCACAGCGGCCTGCTATGCTAAATAGCGTCTTACTCATGATATTCCTTATGACGTGCTATAACCTCGACGAATATACGATAGTTATACTTAGAGTTAGAGTTATAGTTATAGTTATAGTTATAGTGTTAGAATATTGGACTGCCGCCTATATTCCCTTGTATGGACTAGCCTCTTGGCTGGTCCCTTAGGTACACCTGTACTATAGCTCTCAGTACTCTCACACCTAATCTACTACACCTTCTGCACTCCTGATTCTATCATATAGTTATACTTAGTACAAGCAATATTTCAAGACAAGCTGTGTTAAGTAGCGTAGACAAACAACTGACTACCTAACTACTCGTAGGCGGCAGCGCAGGTACTCCCCATCCAGGATTATCCCGAGCCCGAGATTTGGGGTAGCTTTGCCTTGCGGGGTAATACAGTACGGACTGTACTTCGTAAGTAGTAACATTTACCTATACAGTACGTTGGGAGGCGCCACCCCCGCCTGTGGGGAGGATGTGGAGACGGTGGGGTATAGGGTATGGGGTGCAGGGCTCGAAGCTTGAGCCTGGACTCGCCTCGTTCCGGGGTGTTATTACCGGTAGATACATGCGGAGATGGTAGCTGATAGAACCAAACTTTGCCAAAAAGGACAAAGAAAAGTACAGGAGGCTAGACATGCGAGAGAATATTTGAATGTGGACAGCATTGACTGTCATTTCGAATTTTCTGCGTGTTGGGCGATACATTTTGCCATCCGGCTCGCGCGACCTGGGCTGGGATGTATGCTTTGGTATCCAGATCAGACAGGACTACCGAATCGCAACATCCGCAGCTGGGCCGTGTGATGGCGCTCGACCACGGGGAGACGATCGCGTACCGGGGGATCAAGTACGCAGAGCTGCAGCACGCTTTCGCGGAGCCCGTCTTGTTCGCCCACCCATCGCTCTCCAAAGTGCTCGACGCGACTTCTTACGGGTAAGTCAGACCATACCACATATCCGATCAATTGAGAGCGAAATCATAGCCAACTAACGCATACGTGTCTGTGAAAAGACCGCAGTGTGTCCAGGGCTCGGCAACGTGCGATGCTGAATTCGCTTTCATCCAACACGAGTTGCCGCGCGGGGAGTTCAAGACGTCGCTGACGGAATGCCTCAATCTCAATATCACCACGCCGAAAGGTGGGAGGGAGGGGTTGCAGCCCCTCCCGGTCTTCGTCTTCATACACGGCGGCGGATTCAGCTTGGGGGGGAATGCGTGGCCCCAGTATGATCCTGCGCGCCTCGTGGAGCTCTCGATCAGAGAAGGTAGTCCTGTGATTGGAATCAACATCAAGTGAGCTTTGGCAGATTCTTTCTTTGGAAAGTCAATAACAAACAACAACAACGGCAGCTGACGGCCTCGCTTAGTTACCGCCTAGGCCTGCCCGGCTTCCTCGCTTCGCAGGGTCTGATCGATGCGGGTGCCCGAGCGAACAACGGCCTGCGCGACCAGCGGGTGGCATTGTTGTGGATTAGGAAGTATGTTGGAGGCTTTGGGGGTGATCCCGAGAATGTGACCGTCGTTGGAGAGAGCGCTGGATCCGGTGCGTATGGCCCGGAACGTGGAAACGTGTTGACGAGCAGATCAAAGCTGAAGAGGGGTTCCAGTTGCTGCATTTCTTCATCTCGAGTCCACACAACCGCTATTCAAGAGGATCCTCGCCATGGGAGGGTCGCCGCTGCTTCTAAAGCCCCTTACGATGGCTGCTGCAAGCGGGATCCATAACGTCGTGATGGAAAGGTTGGGCTTTGCGCAGATGCAAACAGCAGACGAGAAAGTCAGGGCGCTGAAAGAAGCAAGTGCCGACCAACTTGTTGCTGCCGCAGAGGGCCTGCCTATGCTGCCCGTCGTCGATGGCGAGTATGTCAAGTCCGAATCTACCTTTACGCAGTGGTCGTTCCAAGAGAGCGCCTTGCCGGGCACGCAATGGTGTGAAAGCGTCATGATTGGGGATTGCGAAATGGACGTAAGCACTCCCAACACCGTCTCCACGTACTGCGGCTTTCCTCCCTGACTCCGCGCAGTCCAGTATCCTGTTCTACATGCTGCATGACCGACAAGCGAGGCTAGAAGAGACTTTCCTCGCATGCGTCAATGATTCCCTGCATGAGAATCCCGTAGCTAAGCAGCAGCTACTGGAAGCGTACCACATCGGCAGCGGCAGCGGCAACGATGCCCAAAATCAAGCGGTCGCCACGGACAACATCTTGCACTTCGCGCAAGACATCGGCTTCTACGCGCCTCTGGTCACCATCGCGTCCGGCTTCCCGGGGAAGCGCTTCGTGTTCCACTTCAACGAGCCGAATCCCTGGGACGGCCGGTACCAGGGCGTCGCGAGCCACCTCCTGGACGCCGCGTTCCTGTACCAGAACTTCAACGAGTTTCTGGACGAGGCGCAACGGGGCTCGGCCGAGGCCTTCGGGAAGCACTTCGTGGCCTACGTGGCTGGTAGAGAGCCGTTCCCGCAGTTCGCGCCTGGGGAGCGGGGGGCTATGGTGTATGGCGCGGGAGGAGACGACAGGCAGACGTTCGTGAGAAGTAGGAGGTGTGAGGATGTTGGGAGGAGAAGTACTATTTTCAGATTGGCCCAGTCTTCAAGCCTGGAAGAGCTGTCTGCGTTGTGGGGATGTTTCTTGAGTCGTGTTGAGTAGAGCTGCATACAGTCGATAGACAGACTTATCGCAATCGCAAGCCGACACGGACAATCGTAACAGCTTCAGAAAAGATAAATAAATCTGTTACTCAGATCGAAGCTTTCTCTCTAGAAAACCGAAACGACTCCAATTCCTCTGGGGTTTTTGACTCGAAAATAAAAAAATGAAAAGATTATATAGATCCTTTGACTCTGTATATTTGACGACCAGGAAAGCAATGAAACCAGACTTATTCAGCCGAAGACCAGACGTGATTAAAATGCACCGGCTAGGTCCCTATAATACGATGTTAGAAATCGAACCAGCTGAAAGATCCCAGGGCTGGATGGGATGGGAAAGGAAAGGATACCCTTCCCTCCACAGCTTGCAACGTTTGTTCTCGGGCAGACGTCTATTAGCGAAGCGACTCCGAGATGATATCGACAGCTGCACCTACCTACCTGCAGATGCAGCAGCTGCCCTATCTCAAAGCGGTGGTCAAGGAGGCGCTCCGCCCCCGCCCATCCATCGTCGCCCTACCGGATGCAGACGTGCTGGTTTTCGTACCAGCATGATTTCATGGTCAGGTTGCGGTTGCGAGGCCACTCGCCGGCTGCTTGATATGCCTGCTGTGTGTAAAAGAAACAAAATATAGAAAGATGGAGAGAGAGAGAGAGAAATCCGCACACGATTCACATCTCATCGATTTACCCCCCTCTCCAAATACCAACCAATCAATCAACCAACCAATCCGCATAATTGATTTGATCATGCCGTGAGGTCTCTGCTTTTCCTTCACTCACTCACTTACTCACTCACTCACACACTCTGTGAGTTTATTGCGCAGGGTTGAACTGGATTAGCTTTGCGGGCGCTTGGCTACCGTATCTACTACGTATCTATGTCTTTGACTAAAATGTGGTAACCAAATCAGTATGAGACATATCTATCTACCGTATCTATCTATCCATATATCTCAAGTGGCTTTCGAAAAGGCTGGGGGAGAGAGAGAGAGAGAGAGCGAGAGACTTACTTGACTAATTGTGACCCCGGATGTATTTTATTTTTATCTTATTTACTGCAGCGTAAAGACGGCCTGGTGGGTACGTAATCAATAATCGAGTTAATCAGGTGAGCGCAAAGTCATGGAAGAAAAGAAGAGAAAAGAAAAGAACGAACGACCGAACGACCGAACGAATGAAAGAGTTGCGAGATGGAACGTTGCAAATGCAGGCAATGATGATGAGTTGATCACTCTTTCACTCTTCCTCAAGGAAAGAAGAGGAGCAAAAAAAGTTGTTCTTCCGCCTGACGCCCGGCGCCCCAGACCCGGATCTCTGAAAACATGGAGAAAGAAGAAAGAAAAAAAAAATGTATGTCGGGAGCAAAATTGAACGGTTTGTGACGACAACGGCAGGATTTGAACCTACGCGGACGAATCCATATGATATCTACCTAGGTCACACGGATCTAGGATTCGAGTCATACCCATTAACCACTCTGGCACGTTGTCTGAAATAGATGGATATGAGACCCCAGTGAGCTTTAGGTACTATATTCACGCAGATTGAGTTCCAGGCTAATATTCGGGTAAACGAGACAACGACCTTTTTTTTTCAATGATGACATGGGTGAAAAGCTCCCGGGAATTTAGTAGCCTACCTACGGAGTAACCTACGACATCACCCTCACAGTTCTATACAACGGTCTCAAACGAGGCGATATCCCATAAAAGCAACCTCCGCTGCAACATTCACATCTCACGAATGTTCCAACAGCCAGCCCACTAAATTCTCCGCCAGCCAAGTCTGCCTCGCGCGCGCGCATCTCCCAAACCAACCCGTCGAGCAAATACCTACAAATACTTAGCCCACCCCAAGATGTCAACCACAACCGCAAGCACAGCGCCCACGGCGCCCACGGCGCCCACGGCGCCCACGGCTCCAACCGCAACCCCAACCCCCGCCCGCACGCCGCGCGAAACCCTCATCCACAACCTCTCCCTCGCCTCCCTGGTCGTCTGCCCCGTCATCCTCGCGCTCCCACCCCGCCGCGCCAACCTCACGGCGGTGCTGCTCGCGGGCGGGTTCCTGGCGGGCAGCAACGAGCTCGCGCGCGAGTACAGCGGCACGTCGATCATGGACCGGTTTGGGAACCGGATGGCAAACATGACGAGCCGGGATCTGCCGCCCAAGGCGCTGGAGACGCAGCGGCGGCTGCGCGAGGAGAAGGAGCGGAGGAGGGAGGAGGAGCGGAGGGAGGGGAAGGGGGAGGGGGAGAGGGAGAGGGAGAGGGGGCTGTTGGGGAAGGTGTGGCTTGGGGGTGAGGGGGAGGATTGGAAGGCGAAGAGGGATGCGAGGGAGAAGGCGGCGTTGGAGGAGGGGAAGGGATATGGGGGATTGATTATGGATCAGATCTGGGAGGTTGTCAGCTGGGGGAAGGATCGGGCGGAGGAGGTCAAGGAGATGGATGAGAAGGTTGTGGGTGAGGAGAAGAGGGAGGGAGGGAAGAAGTGAGGATGTGGGTGAGGCGAATGAAATGTTTGGTTGGTTGGCTACAAGGCTTGGTTGGGTGTGTCCATCCTGGTGAAGGCCGACATGGAGTCGGCAGATCATGCTTCCCGGGGCCTTGGGCGAGTGGAGGTTGGGTCAGGCTGAGGATGAGACATATTTGACCATATTGTGCTGTAGCATACAATAGGTATATCCCAGGTACGATTCGCTGTATATACAAGTCCGGCTGCATGTTCATAGACAGAGACTGAAAAAGCCGGATGCCGCTGTAATGTATAACTTCTCAACAACCTATTTTGAGCACATCTTAATTCAGCTGATCCAGAAGCCAGTCGTCTCACAGCCGTTGACAAGCAGCCGCAGAGCCGCGCACCCGTCAAAGATCACAGAGATATCACAATTAAGCACTCGGTGAGAAGATGTATGCAAATGTTCCTGTTTTGTACTCCTTAGACTGCCACAGTCCGCCTTGCTCAGCCACGCAATGAGAATGAAACGCATGGTATCATAAAGCAACAACCTTTCAGAATCGCCGCACGCAATCAGCACCTAGCTAGCACTTTTATGCTTCCGCTTCTTCTTCGTACTCTCCTCAACCTCCTCCTGGTCAGCGCTATCATCCGCCTTCCGCTTCTTCTCCTTCTCCTCCTTCTCCTTCTTCTCCTTCTTCTCCTTCTTGGACTTCTTCTCCAAAAAATCCTCATCCGCAACAGACTCTTCGGCCTTCCGCTTCTTCTTCTCAGACTTGTCAATCTTCGCCTTCTTCTCTGCAACTTCGTCGCTTTCGCCATCATTTGATCTCCTCCGCTTCTTCTTCGACTTGTTGCCTTCCGCAGATTGAGCCACTTTAGCTTCCTCTTGTGCTTTCGTGCCAGCAGCAATCTCAGCTTTCAATTTTACTTCAAGGGCTGCGAAGTCGACTCGTGGCTCAAGTGGCGGAGTAGCTTCTTTCGGAAGAGTGCTAGCATCAGCTGCGGCAGCATCCTTCGTCGCCTTGTGTGCGGCTTTCTTGGCTTCTTTATTAGCCCTCCGCAATTCTTTTTCCTCTTCCCTCCTCCGCTTCCGGGTATTTTTCTCGCCTACCGAGTCGTTCAGTTCGACGGGTGTAGGCTCAAGATCGACAACGAAGTATGGGTTTGGCTCAACTCCCGCCGGCTTGTTTTCCTTGTTTGAGCTCGATTCGATTGTCTCGCTGTTCTCAGCATTCGGGAATCGTGGGAACTTTGCTCCGATGTTCGGTTGGACGAAGTCGGAATTGTTCGATTCAACGGCTGCATCCGAGTCGGCGCCTTCCTTATCGCTGTCGCTTGCCTCCGAGTCGGTGTCGTCGCTCACATCTGACATCTCGGTATCTCCATCTTCGTCTACATCCTCGGAATTTCTACCAAGTTCACCCTTTCCCGTCGGATCGTAACCAAGATCGGCAGCCTTCTTTTGAAGCTGAGGTCCCAATGGCTCGTAATTTGTCCCGGTGACCCCGAGACCTTTTTTGTCTTGCAGAGCCCTGGAAGGTAGCTAAAGATGAAGCTGTCAGCACCAAACTTGCTAGATCCGTCTGCGATTCCCCAATAACTCACAATTCCTCTCGCCGCTTGTCGCGCCATTGCCAACACCTCTCGCGTCCGATCCATCATTCCGCAGATAACTCTCCAATTTCCTCTCTCTCCCAACTCATACTCCAATCTCTCCTTCTCGGGCATAGTAACCATATCCAATTTCATACTCTGCATAATCCTATCCAATGCCCGAATTTGCGACTCGATAAGCTGCAAATGCTTCTTGAACAGCGTTGGCCACTTCGCATGCTGCGGGCTCTTGGTGAATGGCTTCGGGCGACCCATCGGGATCGGATAGGCAGCAGGGCCAGGCATGTTGGTATTGATCGTACTTTTCTTCTCTCTGGACGGGATCTTCTTCGCCTTCTTTTGTGGTTGCGCTGGCTTGGGCACGCCAGGGATCTTGGGTACCTGATTGAGCTTTTTGGCGGCCAGCTTGGCCTCCCTGCGACCGGCTTTTCCTTTGCCTTTACCCATTGTGTTGGCTATTTGTTTGGGTGAAGTTGAAGGAAGGAGGAGGAATGTGCTGGTAGTGATGAAAAGTTGCGTGCGGGAGCCTTTCTAGAAAAAAATATTTGGAGCTGCGTAGAAGCCAGCCCCCCAGTTGGTAGTCCGTGCGCACTAGCGCGCCTCTTTGTTCAGCACCACAGCAAGGCTGGGACTTCGCGTAAGAAGCTCTTATCGCCCAGCCACCTCCTCTACTTACCTAGGTACTTACCTAGGTACTTACCTAGGTACTGTATCCCAATGTCTTATGTTGCGGCTACAAATCTAGGTGGCAACAAATCTAAGCCTTTGACCCCAAGTCTCAAGATCAGGCTGGGTTATCGATTTGCCTCGGCTAGTCCCTCGCGACCTCTCTACTTACTACGAAAGCATCCTGAGCCAGAATTGCGCTCATGCCTCGCAGAAACAGACTTCAAGCAACGCTGCATCAGTACTTTCTCTTCAAACATGTCTCGATTCATAATTGATGACTTTACCTAAAATCCTCACAGCCAGGGCAAGAGTTCGCGGGTTTTGGTTACCTTATTTTTGATCATTCAGCTGACTACAAAGTACTTTCATCTATCGATAATAATATAGCTTTACTGGAAAGGGTCGAAAGTCCTGTCTTGGAACCCAATGATCAAGCGTTTTGCAGAAACGCGGCTCCGATTCTAAAGTTTACAGATCTTCCAGTCCATTCGTGTGCATAGATAATTCGAAGCTCTAGTAAGAGCTATGCAGCCTTGATGGAAAGAGGGTGAGGTACGGTGAAACAGATGATGGCATCTGAGCATATCATTCGTTGGTCCTGGCACTCATAAAGAATATCGGACCCTCACATCTTACATATAAATATCTGGATTAGTTTGGAGGCTCTGCAGCCGCAAATCCTGTCGACTGTTCCATAGTTGCACATGAGATGTTCTTCAAGGTTTCTGGAGATCTCGCTTAGAAAAGGGGCTCGGTAATGGCGGGGTAAAAGTAAATAAACAGAGCGGAACATGATCACCTGGATTCCACACTCTACATCTGCTGCTCAATCATTGATGCTGTAGCGGGCCTCTGGCTGATTAGTCACGGGTCTTATATTTTGTGATAAAGGTATCGAAATCCCATCTCCGTGTCTCACCCGCGGAGAAAATCCAGAATCTTCGAAAGGGGGGGGGGCGAAGACAGGCGGACTGAGACCAATAAGTTCTTTTTCAATCTCTAAATCCCTCATTTCCCTCTACTATCAGAAACAGTGTTTACTTGCCTAGGCTGGCTGGCCCGGTCATATCCACGTTCATGCCGGTGGGAGCGAAGCCGGACGGTAACGCGATCGTGCGCTCCAAGTCAGAGTCGTTACATAGTATGACTTTACGCTTCACCAAGTCTTTGTGCACTGGTATAAACTGATTACAAGTGACCTTTGCACACAGCGCTTCCTAACCACGGTCTCGCAGAGCCGGTCGAACAGTCTGTGCGCCTCGCTGTTCAGCTGCGCCCGCATGTTCCCAGAGTCTAGGCACAAGTGCCATCTGTTATGAGCCGCGAGCAAGTACTCGAGGATAATAGGGAACGGCCCTCTCCTGGTCATGTTAGGGTAGTAGCACTGGAAACTGGTGAGACCCACGACGGGCCCAACAGCAAAGTAAAGATTTTCTGCCTCAAGTGAGGGTCTTTCGTCCCATTTCAGATCATTGGAGAAGTAAAAATTACCAGTCGCCCCGACTGGAGCTAGTCTGGCGAGCATATTTTTTATTGAAGACATCTTTTTTTCGCCGAGTTAATAATCTAAATAGCAAACGAACCTGCTGGCTGGCCGAGTTTGGATAACAAATGGTATTGTGTTGTTAAAGCATATAGTAACAAAATTAAATAATATAGGCAACAAATGGATCCCAAAAATCTTTAAGGATAAGGAACGGCCAACGCGATTGTAGACCGGAGACGAAGAGACTATTCTGCAGCATATAGCGTTACTGGTGCTAGACCCGAAGAAAGCATTACGCTTTTCATATATGACACTTTTCCTTGACAAGCTGCAAATGGTTATTCCAACTGAAACGATAAGTAACGATGAGTTAGATTTTTAGGCTGAATGCTGGGAAACAGAGGGGGAGCTAATGAAACATTCGAGCAAAACTGTTGATTGGATAAATTGGGATATTGCTGAAGATCCTGGACCGGCCGGAAGAGGAACTCTTAATCTGAGCCAAATGCTTAAAATGATGGGTGTTTGAGAGGAGGAAAATTGATTACTGACGAAAAGGTGGAGGCGAGCCGGTATTGGTGGTGGTTGTGTTGGTACGGTATTACAGAGGTGTGTGATGCAAAGTTGAGTACGTATTCAGTTGTGTGTGAGATTTTTCAGTTGGTTTTGCATGCTTCTCACTAAGTGGAATCGTAGCTACCTATATAACTACCGATACAACCGGAGAGTAGCAAACGGAATAGTCAGGACACCTTCCTGACCTGATTAACTCGACTGAGCTGACACACTTGACTGAGTTGACCGCTACTCTCGCTTAGCCTTATTGTTTACCAAAGTAACTGTACCAGACTGACTGAGGTTTCAGAAATTACTCAGGTCTCAGTTCCAACAGGATGGATTTGTGGCGTTCGACTCCTGTGGCAGCACCAGCACCGAAGAGCTAGAACAGATGAGAGTTGAGAATGAAAGAGCCTAAAGGAAGGAAAGAAGGCAGGAAAGAAGCAA